AATTGCAGAACTCTACACTGAAATCATATTAGTTTTCATTTTAATTTCTTGACTGAATGGAGTCTGTGAAATCATTGATATTTCCTGTGTTCAAGTACAGAGGAAGCCATATGCTTCATTGTACTGCGGCCAATGTCCAGAACATAATGAAGAGGATGGGGGGGGGGATCTACTTTTTATCAATAAAGGTCTGGGTTTTTTTTCAAATAAATATTCTCTATTGTTTTGCTGTCAAGCCGCAGCCACCTTATGGAGGCCCCCGTAGGGTTTTCAAAGCAAGAGATGTTCAGAGGTGGTTTGCCATTGCCTGGTTCTGTGTAGCGATGTTGGTATTCCTTGATGGTCTCCCGTTAATGCTCCCTCTAAGCTGTGGAGTCTTGTGAGCAAAAATTCTACTTTGTGAGCTACTGGCATTAAAGTTGTGAGTGAGCGATTTGGCTACTGCATAAATCAGTTTGATCTGGAGCCATCCTTCCTGAGCTAAGACAAAAATCTGTGAGCTGGAGGCCAAAAAAATTGTGAGCTAGCTCACACTAACTCAGCTTAGAGGGAACCCTGTTTCCCATCCAAATACTGAGCAGGATGGAACCTGCTTAGGTTCTAAGATCTGACAAGCCTGAGCTTGCCTGAGCTATCCAACTCAGGTTTTTATTTTATTTTTACCAGTTTGTCGTCAGCTAATATGTCATTGTTTTATACACAAAAAACAATCACGTAAATGGTTGCAAAAATCCATGCTTCCATATGAACCTGGCTAATAGAGAAGATCATCTATAGAGATCTTGCTTTGTCTTTAGAGGTGAGGTGAGTGGCTACCATAGGCAGGACTTTTTCTTAACATAATTTCTTCTCTGCTTCCCTTTGCCTGGTGCGCAGTGCTAGGAGTTTAAGCTTCTGGCTGAAGTTGTTTTATTGAACCAGAATTTTTGTGATGTATAATTTTGTTGATAAATATATATTCTTCAACAAGAAAGCTTTTGAGGGGAAATTACGTTTGACTGGTAAATAGGGTAAATAATTTCTTAGTAAGTATAGTGGCAAACCTCTAACATTTGGCAAAGCAGAGAACCCGTATTTTACATTGAACAATGAGACTATTGGAAACTGATTGCATGGTGGTTAGCAAATCAAATAAATGAGATATCTCTGTGTACCATTTGCCATGCCTTACTGAATTTTTTTAATGCAAACTACAAACAAATCACTTTTGTGAAATTTCAGAAGGTGCACATTAATGTTCATATTTGTACATTTTTATGTTTTAGTCCACACAATTTCAAAACACAAAAATGATTAGAACTCTGTCACCCAAGGCAAGACCAGACCTGCAGTATCAGCCTCAAATTCATGATATCAGGAAACTGTCTGATGTAGGGTTGCTAGCCTAAGGCTGGCAAGTAGCAGGAGATTTAGTGCGCGGGCCCTGGGGTGTGCTTATTGGTTAGACCTAGAAGTTATGTAATTGTCTTGGATGCTGTCTGGTGTTCAATTTTGTGTTTTAACCAGTAATACTAATCCCCATAATTCCTCCCAGCATTTTCCTTTACACACCCAACTGGGCACTGGCAGGCAGAGCCAGCAGGGAACAGCAGTCTGGTGTGTATACTTGTAAAAGAAGAAGAAGAAGAGGAGGGGGGGAGGAGGAGGAGGAGGAGGAGGAGATTGGATTTAAACCCCACCCTTCACTACCCAAAGGTGTCTCAGAGTGGCTTACAAACTCCTTTCCCTTCCCCTCCCCACAACAGACACCCTGTGAGGTAGGTGGGGCTGAGAGAGCTCTGACAGAAACTGCTCTTTTTCAAGAACAGCTCTTATCAGAACTATGGCTTGCCCAAGGTCATCCAGCCAGGTGCAAGTGGAGCAATGGGGAATCAAACCTCCCAGATTCTCCCAGATTAGAGTCCGCGCACTTAACCAGTTGGAGGCAGCGTTTGTGTAGCTGTTTTTGATATTTTTTTGCTGCTAGAAGTTCACTGGTCTGCTTTAAAAGCACAATTTTTTAAAATTAACCAGAAAAAATCACTGGAATGTTTCTCACCTAATCTTCTTTGCGCCTACTGTCATAAATTTAATAGGCTGACTTTTTTCCTTGCATGAGTCACTTCATCCTATAGGGCCGTTCTGTCTTCATTCATGGATTTTGAAAATTAGCACCGTATGAATTTAAAAAATAATAATCCAGCCCTAAGATGTCCACACAGCAGATAAATTAAGAGGGAGAGGAGGACCCGTAATGTATAACATAATTATTTAAAGATTTTGCAAGCTATTAATATTTTATTTTGAAACCATTTTTGTGAAACTCCTTGACATACTTTCAATGCTTACTTCATGTAGTGACAGCTTTGCGTATTTTTTTCTGAAGATTTGGAAGTTACAAAGATAAATGATGACTAATGTGCACCATCTGCCTGGAGAAATAAAGATTTCTTACTGAGAACATAGTTTCTGTTAAGCTGATTTGCTTAGAATAAGGAAGCATACCCATACCTCTGCTATGAAAATTAGGTCTTAATGCCTTCTGACAAATTTTGAAACAACTGTGTGGGTGCTGGGATAACAATATTTCCTCTGTTGAGGGTCAGACATATTTCTTCTTTCGAACTTACACAAGAACTTTGGAATGCTCCAAACTGCTGATATTTGTTTTGGAACATCCTATGGAGCAGTTCTGCATGTTTTATGTCTCTGATACCAAAGTGTTACTGATGCGTACTGAGTTTTTACAGCTTTCCTTCCAGCGATATGCATTTGGCTGGTACGCTAGATGCCTTTCTTCGGCAATGGATCTTGCATCCTTGTTAATGGCAATGAAATGTTGCTATTTGTGAGTGAAACTTTGGACTGATTTCATATAGCACTTTTGTGACTTATCATATGATCGCTCCCTGCTGAATGTGTGAATTGCCTTAAATGAAAAGCTTAAAGCTAGAGGTGTTGTTAGATGATGTCTAACATGCCCTCATGTTTTCTCCAGTGATCCTCCCCAACTTTATCCCCAGAGGAAATGAAGAGAAAGAGAAGGATTCCATTTAATGTGTAACATAAGAGGGGAGGGCTGCTTCCTGGGAGAATGCCTCCTATGAGTCTGTACTCAGTCAATGTGATACTCTCGCTTGACCTACAACCTCATCAAGCTGCTCATCCCCACATTAAAATGGAAGGAGGGATGTTGCAACTTGTATCCCAGTACACTTCCTCAAGCCCAACGCACAGTACATCATCATCAATAATAATAATGATGATGATGATGATGGATCACCCAGTACCTGAGTACACAAGGCTCTGAGCGATTTACAAGTTAAAAATTTTATTTTATTTATTTATTTACATTGCACTTATATACCGCCCATGACCCCTAATGGGTCTCAGAGCGGTTTACAGATTACTACTAACATATACAGTAGTTGTTAACCTACCTAGGGCCACATTCGCAAGGGGGAGGGGGCTTCCTACCGACACCCTGTTGGCAGCACGGTTCTCTCTCTTTTCCGGCGGGCTACGAGCGTTGTTCTTTTTCCGGCGTCTTTCTGGATACCCGGCGACCACCTTTCCGGCAGGCTCTGTTGTTCCCTTCTGCGCGCGACTGCTCTTCCGGCTGCAGCTTCGGCTCACGTCCTTCCGGCTCCAGCCGCGCTGCGCCGTCCTGCGTTCGCAACCAGGAGGTGGGTGCCCCCTGCCACCTAGGGCAGGTACCCATTTATCTACTTGTTTATTTTATCTTTCGAACCGCTGGGTTGGCGGGAGCTGGGACGGGGGCCGGGAGCTCACTCCGGCCGTGGTGGGGATTCGAACAGCCATTGAGGCTGTTCGCTACAGATGTTAAAGCAGACGTTGTATTGCCTGCGCCACCGCTCCCTTTGAAAACAGTACAAAAGTCCAGATTAAAATCAATTATCCTTAATTTTAATCAAAAACCTACTCTGGGCCGTTCTTCCGTCTCATGGGCGGGTTAAGGAAGAGGCCGAAGTGGGTGTAATGGAAGAAAAGAGGGTGCCACCTATGATGGAAAACCATTGCTGTCCTCCACCAAAAGCCTGGCGGAACATCTCTGCCTTACAGGCCCTGCGGAATTGCATTATGTTGGCAGAGAGTTCCACCATGTTGGAGCCAGGGCCAAGAAAGCCCTGGCTCTGGTTGAGGACAGCCGGACGTCCATACAAGAGTGTCTAAGGCTCAAAATCAATGTGGTGTGTTGGTTTCATGGATCCCGCATGAGGTTTTTAAAAAACTTCTTTTGCAGCTGATTTATGGCAACCCTGTAAGATTTCCAAGACATATCCAGAGGTGGTTTGCCATTGCCTGCCTGTGTGCAGTGCCTGCCTGTGTGCAGTGATCCTAGTATTTCTTGGTGGTCTCCCATCCAAATGTTAACCAGGGCTAAGCCTGCTTAACTTCCAAGATCTGATGAGATCAGGCTAGCCTGGGCTATCCAGGTCAGGGCACAACTTTCATACAGGGATGCAATTCAATTTCTGATCCCTCTTGTTTAAGAAAAAGAAGAAGAGATTGGATTTATACCCTGCCCTTCACTCGGGAGTCTCAGAGTGGCATACGATCTTGTTAGATCGCCGCTAACAAAGATCCGGAGAGTGATTTCAGCAAAGTGATTCAGCTTTATTGAAGTAACGAACAAGCACTTAAACGCATTCATAACCAGAACGGATTAACATTGGGAGCCGGGCTCCTTTTAAACATTCCTGGACTAACATAGCCATACCTATTTACAATAATCAACCAATGAGGTTGTTTGGATAAAGACCAATGGAAGTCCTTCCCGCTCAGAGACTAGGTGTTGTTCTGATTGGTCGCTGGCACAGGGCGACCAATAGCAAGTCAGCTCTGAGGAGCCTTCGTCGGCTCGAAGCTTAACATGGGGAGTGAATGCGGCGATTCAAGTAAGCATTCCAATACATTACAATCCCTCCCCCCTAAGTTAAGACAATACACATTTTTAAAAAATTCACTGTTGATCCAAAACTATACATCAAAACTAGACATCAGTCATTACAATACACTTTATTGCATTCGTAATCAGCGAGGTATGATGGTGCTCGCCACTCACGCTGTGACCTGCGGAGCTGTGTAGGCTCAGAGGGCAAGTTCTGTTGGGTGTCAGCCATAGGCTCTGCACGACCTGTAACAGGCTCATTTACTTCGGGGTTTGCAGACCCACGGCCAGGGGTCTGCCCTGCTACTGGGACAGTACTGGGTAAGTCAGTACTCACCTCCATATTGGGAGGTCGGAACTCAATGTCTGAGGGCTCAGCCATCGGAGAGTCAGCGCTGTCCTTCGCCCAACGTCTCCTGAGCTGGTCTATGTGGCGCCGCCATTTCCTACCATCGGCCAGCTGAACCACATACATACGCGTGCCTATGCTCTCGCACACCACCCCGGGGGCCCAGTTTCTTGTGCCCAACACCCCGGGGGCCCAGGAATGCCCTGCAACATAGTTACGGGCGAACACTTTGTCTCTGGCCTCAAACATGCGCACCTTTGTTTGTGTATCCTTTTGCTCTGACTCTTGCTCGTTAAGGTCCGGGTGCAACCGGTTTAAGCGAGTCGCCAGGCACCTGCCCATTAACAATTCAGCGGGACTTTGACCCGTTGCACTACAGGGGGTGGTGTGCTGCCGCAAGAGGAAGGAACCCAACCGTACACTCCAATCCCCCTCAGTTAACCTTCCCAGGGCTTCTTTGGCCGTGCGGACCATTCTCTCTGCTTGCCCATCTGAGGCTGGGTGGAACGGGGCAGAGGTAACCTGGCAAATGCCATTATTAGCTAAAAACTGGTGGAACTCCTTTGAGACAAACTGAGGCCCATTATCACTGACCAGTACGTCCGGCAGTCCGTGGGTTGCGAAAAGCCGGCATAGCACATGAATGACCGCAGTAGAAGTGGTCGAATGCATTAGCACCACTTCCAGCCATTTTGACCAGGCATCAACTACAATGAGAAACATTTGTCCCTGTACTGGGCCAGCGAAATCCATGTGAAGTCTTGACCATGGCTTACTAGTGGACTCCCACTTTTGCGGTGGAGCTGGTGGAGGTTCTGGCCTGCTTTGTTGGCATTGCGTGCAAACTTGTACCCACTCTTCAATTTCCTTATCATGTTTGGGCCACCAAACATATCCTCTTGCTAGGGCCTTCATGTGCACCATGCCCGGGTGCCCCTCATGCAAGGATTCTAAGACTCTTTGTCTAAGTTTGTCTGGAACTAACACTCTGTTTCCCCAAAGTACACAACCTTTGGAAATTGAAAGTTTCGCTTGTTGAGCTTTGTACGGCTGGAACTCGGGTTCCACACTCCCCACAGGCCACCCCCTCCACACCCAGTTGAGGACGCGGGACAACACGCTATCTTTCGCAGTTTGTATAGCTATGTCTCTTGAAGAGTCTGGTGCCTGGGGAAGTTCGTCTATGGCCAAGACTTCACATGCCGGGGCTGGGTCTGTTCCTTGGTTAGGTAAAGGGCAGCGGCTGAGTGCATCAGCATGCCCTATGGCCTTACCGGGCCAGTGCTCCAGGTCAAAGTCGTATTCCTGTAAAAATAACGCCCATCTAAGCATTCGTGGGGACATAATGTTAGGCAGTTGCTTATCGGGCGCAAAAATCCCCAGTAGCGGCTTGTGGTCTGTGACCAACACAAATTTCCTGCCAAAAACAAAGTTGTGGAACTTTTTGACAGCCGCTACCAATGCCAGACCTTCCTTATCTATCTGGGCATAGTTCCTTTCTGCCGCAGATAGAGATAGAGACCTTGAATAGAAAGCGATAGGCGCTTCGCTTCCATCCGGCATCAGGTGGCTCAAAATGGCGCCTACTCCAAAAGGTGACACGTCTGCAGCCAAGATCAGGAGTTTTTGCTTATCGTAATGACTCAACACATCATTAGATGTCAACAGCCCTTTTACTCCTGCAAAAGCCTTTTCCTCGGCTTGTCCCCACTTCCATTTTGCGTCTTTATGTAAAAGTGCATGCAAGGTGCTGCCACTGATGCCTTGTGCGGTAAAAACACGTGGTAAAAATTAAGCAAACCAAGGAATGACTGCAGCTCTTTTTTACCAGCTTTTGAATGGCCTCCACCTTTTTGCTTGTGGGATGTACCCCTTTTTCGTCTATGCGAAAACCCAGGAATTCCACACTGTCAACGCCCAATGTGCATTTTGAGCGCTTCACCCTTAGCCCGGCAGTTTGAAAACGTTTCAAAACTTCCTTTACTCGGTCTAACAGTTCTTGTTCAGACCCCCCCGCAACTAAAATATCATCAAAATAAGGTACTGTTCCCGGCACCCCCCTCAACATTTGCTCCATTAACCCCTGAAAAATTCCTGGGGCCACATTTACCCAAAACTGGAAAAATTCCTGGGGCCACATTTACCAAAAACTGGAGCCGGTTAACTTTAAACGCTCCCCTGTGAGTTACGATTGTCTGTGCCTCTGCAGCTTCGGGTGTTACCGTCAACTGTTGGTAAGCTTGGGCCAAGTCAAGCTTAGCGAACACTTTCCCCCCTCCCAGGGAAGCCAGGATGTGGCTGATTACTGGAACCGGGTACGAGTGCTGCTGTAACGCTTTGTTCAAAGTGCACTTGTAATCTGCACATATACGTACAGATCCATCAGGCTTGACCGGAGTCACTATGGGGGTCTCCCACTTACTAAAAGGTACATGTTCCAACACCCCTTGCTTATTGAGTTTGTCAAGCTCCCATTCGACCTAGGGCTTGATGGAGATAGGCACCTTCCGAGATTTCAACCGTATCGGCTTTACTGACGGATCTAATTCAAACGCAATGGGGGGCCCGTTGTACCTCCCCAAACCATCTCCAAATACCTCAGGGAATTCGTCATACAGCATATCCCATTTATTTTCAGACATTTTGTTAACACCGTATATACCAATGCCTAACGGCCTGAACCAATCCAACCCCCAAAAGGTTTACCCGGTCCCCTTCAGCAACTAAGAACGACAGGTTAGCACATTTCCCTTTATACTCAACATTTACAGTGTCCTTTCCTGCCAAAGGAATCCTCTTTCCTTGGAAATCGGACACTCTGGTGTCTGCAGGTTGGAGCCGCCGCCGACTTCGAGTTGGGAACAACTGCTGCCAGGACGTCGCAGATATCACTGTGACAGAAGAGCTGGAATCGACTTCCATGGTGCAAGGTCTGCCATCCAGGAGTGGGGTAACGGAGATCTTTCCCTGACAGCTGGTGCGCAGGACGGTTGATGCGTTGGTCAGAGTCGAAGTCATCTGACAGTTTGCCTCGGCTGCTGTGGGTCACTGCTTGCCTCTGGTGCTGGGTGCCGAACCTTTCTTGGCTGACCTGCAAACTCGAGCCAGGTGTCCACGCCGCCCACACGCTCTGCAATCGATGTCCCGGGCCCAACAGGAGTCGCGATGATGTTTCCCGCCACATCCTGAACAAAACTTGTTTGATCCCGGTTTCACTTGGGTCCGCTTGTCCTTGATGGCATTGACGTCATCCTCCGCATCATCACTCTCGCTGTCTGGATGTTGGAAGTGGACACGCTGTTCCGGCGATGCTAGTTTCTGCCGGACCTCTCTGGTAGATCTGTCGGCTGCTTCCGCCGCAACAGCTTCCTCGTAGGCCACAGCCCAGGTCTCGAGCCTCTCGTCTCTAAGGCCACACACAAGACGGTCTCTGAGGGCTTCTTCTACATCAGCGAAATTGCACGGCCACGCTGCCTTGCGTAGGGCTGCCACAAATTCGGCTATGGTCTCATCGGCTGCCTGGCTTCATTTGTAGAATGCATGTCTACAGGCAATTTCGGATGACTGAGGGGAGAAATGGGCCTTCAACTTCTTTGTGAGCTCCACAAACACCACCGACTTGATGTCGGCCGGAGCCACCAATGACCTGGCGATGTCGAAGGTTCCCTTTCCACAGGAACTCAGCAGGCTGGCCCTCTTCTTCGCATCGTCGGTGATGTCGTTGGCTTCCAGGTGGAACTCCAACCTGGCAAGGTACGCGTCCCACTCCCAATCCTCAGTTGTGGGTTCTAATGCCTCGAACTTCTGGCTATTGGCCATCCTCGCAGGCTCGTTCACCGGTACTGGTGGTGCCTCCGCTGGAGTGGCCACAGTGCTCTGTCCGCTTTCTTCCGTCGTGGGATTGTTAAGCAGGGCTGCCTACCCGCTCTAGCATCCTATCCTCATCGCCAATTGTTAGATAGCCGCTAACAAAGATCTGGAGAGTGATTTCAGCAAAGTGATTCAGCTTTATTGAAGTAACGAACAAGCACTTAAACGCATTCATAACCAGAACAGATTAACATTGGGAGCCGGGCTCCTTTTAAACATTCCCGGGCTAACATAGCCACACCTATTTACAATAATCAACCAATGAGGTTGTTTGGATAAAGACCAATGGAAGTCCTTCCCGCTCAGGGACTAGGTGTTGTTCTGATTGGTCGCTGGCACGGGGCGACCAATAGCAAGTCAGCTCTGAGGATCCTTCGTCGGCTCGAAGCTTAACATTGGGAGTGAATGCGGCGATTCAAGTAAGCATTCCAATAAATTTCAGATCTCCTTTCCTTTCTCTCCCTACAACAGACACCCTGCGAGGTTAGGTGGGGCTGGGAGAGCTCTCAGAGAACTGCTCTTGATAGAACAGCTCTGAGAGAACTGTGACTCAAGGTCACCCAGCAGTTGCATGGCAACATGGGAGCCAAACAGATTAAGTTAAGGAATATCCACTACTGACTGGTAGAGTAGGGGATTTGGCACACTGTGTTCTGCACTTTTATGGCCAATTCAGATATGCTTGATTGGTGCATTCCTTACATTGTACAGTCCATCACAGGCTCTGTACCATATCACATTTCACAGAAACAGTCATTTGAAACCTTCGTGTTCATTTAGATGGTTTTGTGTTTTTATTTTAGCTTTTTTTGTTTATTAAAATTTGGTTTTATGAAGAATGTTATATGGCTTTTAACCTCCTTGGCACCTGTTTGTAGAGAGGCAGGACAAATAAATACATTTCAGGGTCTTTGTTTTTCACTTTTTAGAGCTATGCAGTTAACAGATGCTTGTAGAACAAACAGTTGGAGGGAAAACAATGAGTTACTCCAGTGTAAATCTATGGAATTTAATGTGTTTTGGTTGGCCTAAGTCTACATAGGATTGTACTATTAATATGCTAAAGACTGTCAGTTATTTACAGTGCAATCATAAGAGTATTTTCTTCAGACTAAGTCCCATTGAATAGACATCAGTAGGATTCTGAGTTCTGGGTTGCTTCTTACATAGCACGTTGGTATGTTATTTCATTGTAGTAAATAAATTAACCATTTGCTTAACAGTCATTTAGATAGATGTCTGGGTTTGTGGTTCTCAGGTCTGACTTTAGTTATCTGACCAAAAGCTAATTATATAAACTTTAAATGGATCTTATTGGATAGTTTTATTACTGGTTGTTGGGTGCCTCAGGCATTTTTTAGATAACCTATAACTGCTTTGAATAAATCAAAAGGAAACTCTGGCTCTGTTTGTGATTGCTGTTTGATTGTTTGTTCTTTTCTGTTACAGGAAAAAGTAGAATATGCCTTCCTGATAATTTTTACAATTGAAACATTTTTGAAGATTATAGCATATGGATTATTATTACATCCCAATGCATATGTTAGAAATGGATGGAATTTACTGGATTTTGTAATAGTAATTGTAGGGTAAGTTTGATCTTTATTTTTTCAAGGAATCTGGAAAACATCTAAAATAGTCCTATATTATATGTACATTAATTAACTGGAGAAGAAGTCTATATTCCTTTTCAAAGTTGCTAACCTTCAGTGTTGTTGCCTATGCAGGCCTTTGACATCAGAAGCAGTAATATTTAAATTTCTATCTTGACTACCCTTACCTTGGTGAGTAATCTTCTTGGGAAGGAGAGGGAAATTGCAACCCTATTGGTTTCTCCTGGACCTCTCAGTAGCTTCCAGTGTTATCATCATGGTATACTTATGGAGGATAATTGAAATATGTATTAAGAGTACCGAAGTCTAGTGGTTCCATCCAGATTTTATTAACCAGCTCCAGAAGAAAGCTGGTGCTAGAAAACTTCCCAGGGCTCTCATTTTGTCATCTGTGCTGTTTAACGTCTAGATGAAACCACTAGGAATGGAGATTTGGAGTAAAATATCAGTAAGCTGATAACAAACAGCTTTCTTTCTCCTTTTTAGCAGTTGGATGAGACAGTGGACATTTTGAATAGCAGGTTGGGGGTGGTAGTAAGCTGAACAAGGGAAAATATACTTAAATCCAGAAAAGGCTGAAGGGCTGTATGTTGTTGTTGAGGAGGAGGAGGAGATTGGATTTATACCCCTCCCTTCACTCGGAGTTTCAGAGCGGTTTACAAACCCCTTCCCCTTCCCACAACAGACACCCTGTGAGATAGGTGGGGCTGAGAGAGCTATTTTGAGAACTGCTTGTAAGAGAAAAGCTCTGCCAGAACTATGATTTGCCCAAGGTCATCCAGCAGCTGCAAGTGGAGGAGTGGGAAATCAAACCCGGTTCTCCCAGATGAGAGTTTACGCACTTAACCATTACACCAAATTGGGAATAAGGAATCAAACTGATCTAGATTGCAGCTTGGGAATAATATTAGATCCGTGTTTACAGGTGAATGTACAGGTGTCATTGGTGGTGCATAGCACCTTTGACCAATTTTTGGCTCAGGAACTAAATACAAGAACAGTGGAACAGGCTTCCTTGGGAGGTGGTGGGCTCTTCTTCTTTGGAGATTTTCAAACAGAGGCTAGATGGCAATCTGACAGCAAAGCTGATTGTGGGAACTTAGGCAGATCATGAGAGGGAGGGCAGGAAGGGTTGCTTCAGTGCTTCGTTCTTGTGGCCCTTTCTTACACACCCAGGGAAATGCTGATTGCCATTTTGGGGTCAGGGAGCAATTTTTCTCCAGGATCCTGTAGGTTTTTCTGTAATCTTCTGGGCATGGAACGGTGGTCACTGTGGGTGCGGAGGGTTTGTGAATTTCCTACATTGTGCAGTGGGTTGGACTAGATGACCCTGGAGGTGCCTTCCAACTCTATAATCCTAAGATCTGAATGTCACTCAGAGACTCCTGATGTTGTTATGTTTAAGGAGCTGCACTACTTTTGTGTTCTGTTAAATGATACTGTTAAATTCTGATAAATTAAATGTTCTGTTAAATGATACTTTGCACCATGATCTACAAAAACAGAAGGGATGAAAAAGGGTCTCTGTTTTGAAAAAACTGAGATAGAAACTGATGTCAAAAGGCAGGTATATTTTAATGCAAGATTCACTGAGTGAGTTTACAGTTCAATCCAAGGGCATTGGAATTGGTTTGGGCACAGTTCTTCTGCACAACTGCCCTGCTTCTGCATTTTCAGAATTGTGGAGTCAAGTTTATTTTCTTCTGCACATGTCTTAAATAATCAGGATTTTCAAAGAATAACTGTCGTTATTGGTGGCGTCACAGCACCCCCTTTTATTTTTTTGTGCATGTTTATAACAATATATTGATATCATGGTGGTATTTTTTAAAAAGGCACTAAGATTTCAATAGATTGATATACAGTTGTAATGATAAGTCAAGCTGGTTCTCTGAATTCCTAAGCTGTCTTTCTGCCTGAAGGGCCCCCAAAGTGATGACTATTTCAAACATTAAAAACATTTCAGAAAACAAGTCAGAATATTAAAAACAGTGTTTAAATACAAATATATAAACACTAGGAGGAAGGCCCACTGTTTTCAGGAATGCAACAGGCACTATCGTGGGTGGATGGGTGTGGCGCCTTCCCTGGTGGCACGAGTCCCCCTCCCGCGAAGATGGGCAGGGTCCCTCTGCCGGCTGGCACGTGGGGAGCTTGATCAAGCCCCAGCGCAGACAGGGAAGGGAAGACGGCCGGGTCTGAGAAGAAAGGGGACGGGTGTCAACCGCTTCCCCTTCCAGCAGCTCACTGCCCCCCCCCCATGGCTGCGGGGAGAGCGAGGAAGCCAGGGCCGAGAAGGAAGGGGAGGAGTTTGAAGCACCTGCCCTTCCAGCAGCTCACTGCCCCCCTTCATGGTCGGGGCGTGCCGGCAGGCTAGCATGGGCGGCAGAGGGAAGGATGGCAGAGGCTGAATGGCCTCCCCGAAGAACTGCCCGTGGC